ACGCTGGCAAATTACTTTTTTTTTTTTAAGCTTCCACAAAGGCAACTGATTAACAGAAAACAATACTTTGAGGAATCCTGTTCATAGACAGCGACCACGGCAACCCCGTTTCCTGCAAGTGTTGTGGGGGGATGGGGTGGGGCGGTGAGATTGACATTCTCAACCCACCTGACCTTCACTCCTGAGCAAGCAAGGGCTCTGAGGACTGACTGGGACCCGGGTCCTGGGGTTTGGGTTCTGTTTCTTCCTGTGACCTGGAGTTTGATGTGGAGGGCAGTGATGCCCAGAGATGTGACCCTCTGGGTTACACCCTGGGCAGCCAACATGGCAGCCTAGGGAGAGGACACATCTGGGTTAGCCTTCATCTTCATCCCACCAGTCACATGGCAGATGGTTTCCTTGTCAGAAAGATCAGTGACATGGACAAAAGTGTCACTGAAGGACACAAAGATGTGGCAGATACCACACACATTTTCTCTGTTAGCTACCTGAGGTCCAAGGCTGAGGACCTGTTCTTCCTTCTTTTCTTTCCCCTTGAAGGGGCCATTTCTGCAGGGCTTCTCCAGACTCTGCCACCAGAGAGCAAATGACTCGTCATAACTTAATGTCAGAAATTATAAAATGTGGACCTCTTTCATCAGGTAGTTACATGAGGATTAAATAAGGTAATATATGTAGAACACTTAGTACAATGCCCAGGAATTTGTTAATAAGTATCAAATGTTAGTTGTTTTTAGTGTTGGAGAGAGGAGTTCTGATTTCAAACCCAGACCTGCCATTTATTCTCTGTGTGACACTGGGTGACCCTCCCGATGAGCTGATTAGGGGCAGAAGTAGGTAAATCTGATACGTACAACTCAGCACTGGTCTCTGGACCAGCATGTGGAACCTACTCATCTTAGCCCTCCTTGTTTGGTTTACTTATCAGTAACATGGAGTCAGTGATACCATCAGAGAGGTAAGAATGAGAATCACATGAGATCACTGTGGGAAAAGATCTGGACTCACAACAAATGTTGAGTGAATCTGAATGATTATATTGTTTTTATTCCCGGCAATATTTCTTGTCATGTTTGGGTCTTCCTTATGAACTCCTCCCTCTGATTCTGCCTGCTCTTTATCTTTCCCTGGTACCTATCTGCTCCCTACACTACCCCTCCAGGACTCTTCTGGCATGTTCTCTTATAAAGCTGCAAACGCCCATCCTCACATTCCCAGCTTGCCCTGCAGCTCCCTGGCAGGGCCACCCCAGCAAACTGCCAATTGCTGGCCAGTGAGATGCAAGTGGTGTCCTAGGGACTTCTGGGAAACAGAGACAGACTCCTGAAGAGAGCCCCCTTCCCATCCAGCCCTTCCTTCCTCTTTGGACATTGCCAGGTGAGGAGGTAATGCTTAGTGCTGCTTCAGCCACCTTGTGACCCTAAGTGGGGGCACTGCTGATACACTGAAAGTAGCCGAGAGATGAAGAGGGCCCATGTCTTAAATGACATCCCCGAGCAACTGAACCAGCACTGGAAGTTCTGTGTTTAGACCTCTATCCTGAGGGATTCTTAAATATACTGGTTGGAGGGTCTGTTAATTGCTGCTAAGAACATCAACATTGGCATGATTTAGCTTTCTTCTTACTCTGCCCATTCCTTTCCCTGGCATCTCCTTCCCCTTGGCTTCCTTCCTGTCAACCGCTGGGTTGATCCACAGGATTCAGGTGATCAGCAAGCACAGAGGGCAAAATGAGACTTCTAGCTCCCTGGGGCAGGCATGTCCTAGCTGATGAGTTATTCGGTATCCTATTGTTGCTGCCACCACCCAAAGATGGAGCAAGAAGAACACTTCTTTCATAAAAATCTGAGCCTTAAGAGGGGTGTTGGAAGTCAAGTCAAGAGACTTACTGAGTACCTACTGCACATCCTGGAAACAGGGAGAAGTAAGATTCAGCCCTCACCTTTGAGAAGTTGACCTGCTAGCATACAGTCAACCACAACACCAGGCAATACGTGAAAAGCGACAGAGATCGATAAACCAAAGCATGGTCTGTTTATCACCAGAGCCCTGACTGTGAGCTATTATTGCTCACAACGTCCTAAGGAGCTTGTGCCAGAATGTAAATCAACTTATCACCAAGTACATTATTTAGCTGAACCGATATTTTTTACATAGCAAACTTTCTTGATGAGGAAAGCTGTGGGTTGATTTACATTCTGATAAAAGTTCACTATTTTGTCTCGAACCAGGATTTTGAGTAGTTCTGTTAAAATGGACTACAAAGGTTCAAGGAGCGTTGATGAGCACTGAGGTCATCATGGAGGAAAGGGCTACGACAATGTATCTTGATGAGATCGCTAAGAGCTGAAAAGAAAGGCATGAGCAGAGAGAACAGAGGTAGATGCATTGGTCAAGCAGTAAGTCTGACCGCACAGGGTGCATATTGGGACAAGGTGGAGGTGAGTCTGGAAGACAAAGTCCAGCAAGACAGAAAGAGGCTGGATACGGCACACTGAGAAGTCTGAACCTCTTTTGGTCTAAAATGGGAAGCCATTAAAGTTCTTTGAAAAGTCAGAATATGCTAAGGACAATTGATCAGGTGTCAGAAATAAAAGCTGGTCTATAAAGACAAGAAACAAGAGACAGAGGGGATGAGATAATGGCAGGCCCAGACCAGGGAAGGACTCTAAGAAAATGACTGGAGGTGGGGATGCATGAGAGGCAGGGATCAAAAATGACTGCCAGAAAGAAAAACTGACTGCCAGTTTTTCAAACTGACTGCTAGTCCGCTGAGAGTGTCTGTGCAACTCACCACAGTGGGAGGGTCAGGCACAAAAGGTGCTTTGCTGGGGACTTTTCTGCCAAGGCCCTGGTATGTAAGTCAGAAACACATGGCCAGCAGGGTTGGGCATGGGAGTAAGGGGTTCAGAACAGAGACCGGAGAACTATGCTCACTGAGCTGAGAGTTGATATCAGAACACACCAGTGAGAGAGGATATCACCCAGGTGAAGAGCAGAGAAGAAAGTCAAGGACCTGGAGAACTGCCTCATTTAATGGTGGGTGGAGGAGGAGAATGGAGCCAGAGAAGACAGAGACCAGGGTATCCTAGAGGAAGAGCCTGAAGTCCACAGGTCCACAGACACCCAAGGAAGAGGACAACCTGAAGCCAGCATGGCTCATGGAATGGATGCTGCTGAGTCTGATGAAGATGAGGTTCTAGCCATTGGGAGCTAAAATTCCCAAGAGCAGTTGTAGAGACATGGGGAGGGCAAAGATCAGATTTTAGGATAAAAAAGGGAGGGGTAGGTGATGGAATGAAGTAGATGACCTGGATATCAGTCTAAGACAGTCTGATAGTAAAAGTAAGAGGGAGGCCAGGGCTAAGAGTAGCCTCTTTTGTAGGATGTGGAAAGGTATAAGCAAAAGGGAAAGAGACAGCAGAGAATGAAAGCTGTGGAAGCGAGTGTGTCCTCCAGGGCCTGGAGGGCAGGACCACAAATGAAGGCATTAGTTAGCCTGTTCAAGGAAAATACCTGTAGTCTTTTGACAACAGCAAAGGAAGGAAGAACAGCTGAAGAGAAAGAGAGATTCTGAGATTCAGGAAGCCAAGTTGAAGTTGCTCACAGCACTACCCTGATATGTGCAAAGTCAGCCACCAGCTGAGGTTGAGGGGGTCAGGCTTGGGCTGGAGCCAGAGCCATTTACCAAACTGGGTCACTGAGTCGTCCAAGGTCAAAGCACTGGAAAATGGCACTAGGACCAGAACCCAAGTCTTCCACCTGCCAAGGTCAGTGGTCTTCCTGCTGCATCAGAAATTCTAAACTTTGTTATTCTAGTATGAGATGACAGGCCTATAATATTTCCTCAAGTGCCCTTGAATGAGCTGTTTTATTGGGAAACTAGTCTACTTTATAAGCAGTCCAACAACAGTTTGAGACCACTAGAGAAGTACTGATAATGTAATTCGTCAAGTCTCAAAAATATTAATAAGAAATCTCAGAAAACTAAGAAATATTTTTTAAAATTACATATCAAAACCACTTCTTTTTCCAAGTGAAAAGATGTACAGAAGTTTCTAATGATCTGCTTCTTTCTCCAAATCCTGGAGTAAATTTTTAATGAACAAGTCCCTACAACTGATTTAGAGGAAAATATGAAAGGCAAGCTTCATCCTAGTTAGACCGTCCCTTTGCCACAGTCTGCTCTTTCCTATACTTGCAGCCTCTTCTTGGTGACACATATGACAGAACCTAAAAACATTTTCTGGGAAAAGGTAGGTTATGGAGATATCCCTGAAGAACTGGAAGCCTGGGTGTTCCTTGAGTCTCCCGTGCTTGATGTCCTGGCCTGGCCTGGGCTGATTTAAAGTGACCTAAGCCTACATTTAGCCACAGGCATTGTCCTCTGCAGACCCGAGCAGCTCCTGTGTACCATGAAGATGAGCTATAATGCTCTACTTATTTTGAGTTATATTTAACTAGAAACTGTGGGTAAACGGGCAATTATATTCCCTTTTTGCTTTATCTTAAACACAAGGTTTTCCCCCCTTGGACTACTTTGGGCTGGACAATTCTTAGTTGTGAGGGGGCTGTGGTGTGCAGGGTGGGATGTTCAGCAGTACCCCTGGCCTCTGCTCACCAGATGATATCAGCACAACTCCTCCCTCTGAGGCTGTGACAACAAAAATATCTCCAGACACTGCCAAATGTCCCAGAGGAAAGAGGGGCAAAACTGTCCCCAGTTGAGAAAAATCACTTTAACTGAATAAGGCCAAGTACCTGCTTTACTATGAAGAGAACCCAAAAAGCAGGATTGTGTCCAGGTTGCCCTGCAGAATAAAGACTTTTTGCCCACAGAGGAATGACCTCTGACCTGGGAGAGTCTGATAAAAAACACTTTTTGGCTCTACTCTCTCCAACTCTTCAATATAACACATTGTCAGAAATACTTCTGTTTCAGTGTCCTTGGGCACAGAGCACCTGAGTGTAAGACCAAGAACAGTATGGATATGACTCACCAACTTTTCTCAGTGACAACAGGAGAGTTGCTTGAAGTCTCTGCATGGCCACTGTTGAATTCTGTTTGTGGACTTCTTGTATGATCTATGGGAGCCCCTCAGAATGGGCAGAAAACAAACAAGAAAACAGACAAAAACTTAGAGATCTATGGCTAGGTTCAGAGGCAGGGTTAGGCTTTAGCGCCTACCCATACTCCACAGCACCTCTCTCCCTGCCCTCTTGCTGTTCTACAGCCTTTGTCTACACACATCATCAAGACTGACCTGCTCTGTGATCCCAGCCAGCAAACTCGGTAAAATAATTCACAGGTACGAGAAAACAAGCTACCTTTCTTCAAGAGATAGAGATGGTGGACAGAGATTAGAAGCCCCCAGGAGAGCTCAACTGCCAGGGTGGTGTGTAGGAGTTGGAATGGCAGTGTGCTAGACAGCAGGCCAGTTTCCAGTTCCAGCTAGGCAGGGCGGGGCTGGTGCTGATGCAGAATGTACATCGGGGAATGGACTGTCCCAATGTGGATAGGACAGACTGTAACTAGGGAATCACTTCTGGAGTCATCCATTTCTACACTGTAAAGGAGGGCAATTCACTGATAAGTTTCTCAAGAGTGGGAGTAACAAATACAGTTTCTCCTTTCTGTGACCATGGGTGCCTAGCCATATCTAATCAATCATGCCCCTCTTTTCCACTAAATCTTAATTCAGGTTCAAGTTCCTTTTTTTTTTTTTTTAAGATTTATTTATTTATTTGAGTGAGAGTAAGCTTACTCGAGTAAGGGGAGAGACAGGGAGAGAGAAAGAGAGAGAGTCCCAAGCAGCCTCCCCACTGAGTGCAGAGCTCATGGGAGGGGGTGGGCTTGACATCCGGCTTGATCTCACAACCCATGAGATCATGATCAGAGCCAAAATCCCGAGTTGGATGCTCAAATAACTGAGCCACCCAGGCTCTCCAACTTCAAATCCCTTCTCCTCCTCCTTCTTCTGTTTTGTTTTGTTTTTTTAAAGATTTTATTTATTTATTTGACAGAGAGAGAGAGAGCATACGCACATAAGTAGGGAGAATGGCAGGCGGAGGGGAGGGAAAATCAGGATCCCCACTGAGCAGAGACCTGGATCAGGACCCCGCATCATGACCTTAGCTGAAGACAGACACTTAACCGACTGAGCCACCCGGGTGCCCCTCAAGTTCCTTCTTAACATGCTTTACATCAGAGGTTCCCCTGGTGCAGGTGCCACATGGTCATGACTTCATGAGGACAACAAAGAAAGCATCAACATCACTTAGAAACTTATTAGAAATGCACATTCTTGGGCCCCACCCAAGACCTAGTGAATTAGAATGTCCAGTGGTGGCAGCTGGCAACCTGTTGTTGTTTTTTTTTTTTAATTTTATTAAATTTTTTAATTTTTTAATAAACATATAATGTATTTTTATCCCCAGGGGTGCAGGTCTGTGAATCGCCAGGTTTACACACTTCACAGAACTCACCATAGCACATACCCTCCCCAATGTCCATAACCCCAACCCCCTCTCCCAGTCCCCCTCCCCCCAGCAATCCTCAGTTTGTTTTGTGAGATTAGGAGTCACTTACGGTTTGTCTCCCTCCCAATCCCATCTTGCTTCATTTATTCTTTTCCTACCCCCCAAAACCCCCACGTTGCATCTCCACTTCCTCATATCAGGGAGATCATATGATAGTTGTCTTTCTCTGACTGACTTACTTCGCTAAGCATAATACCCTCTAGTTCCACCCAAGTCATTGCAAATGGCAAGATTTCATTTCTTTTGATGGCTGCATAGTATTCCATTGTGTATATATACCACAACTTCTTTATCCATTCATCTGTTGATGGACATCTAGGTTCTTTCCATAGTTTGGCTATTGTGGACATTGCTGCTATAAACATTCAGGTGCACATGCCCCTTCGGATCACTACATTTGTATCTTTAGGGTAAATACCCAGTAGTGCAATTGCTAGGTCATAGGGTAGCTCTATTTTCAACTTTTTGAGGAACCTCCATGCTGTTTTCCAGAGTGGCTGCACCAGCTTGCATTCCCACCAACAGTGTAGGAGGGTTCCCCTTTCTCCACATCCTCACCAGCATCTGTCATTTCCTGACTTGTTAATTTTAGCCATTCTGACTGGTGTGAGGTGATATCTCATTGTGGTTTTGATTTGTATTTCCCTGATGCCGAGTGATGTGGAGCATTTTTTCACGTGTCTGTTGGCCATCTGGATGTCTTCTTTGCAGAAATGTCTGTTCATGTCCTCTGCCCATTTCTTGATTGGATTATTTGTTCTTTGGGTGTTGAGTTTGCTAAGCTCTTTATAGATTTTGGATACTAGCCCTTTATCTGATATGTTGTTTGCAAATATCTTCTCCCATTCTTTCAGTTGTCTTTTGGTTTTGTTAACTGTTTCCTTTGCTGTGCAAAAGCTTTTGATCTTGATGAAATCCCAATAGTTCATTTTTGCCCTTGCTTCCCTTGCCTTTGGCGATGTTCCCAGGAAGAAGCTGCTGTGGCTGAGGTCAAAGAGGTTGCTGTCTGTGTTCTCCTCAAGGATTTTGATGGATTCCTTTCTCACATTGAGGTCCTTCATCCATTTTGAGTCTATTTTCATGTGTAGTGTAAGGAAATGGTCCAATTTCATTTTTCTGCATGTGGCCGTCCAATTTTCCCAACACCATTTATTGAAGAGGCTGTCTTTTTTCCACCGGACATTTTTTCCTGCTTTGTTGAAGATTAGTTAACCATAGAGTTGAGGGTCTATTTCTGGGCTCTCTATTCTGTTCCATTGATCTATGTGTCTGTTTTTGTGCCAGTACCATACTGTCTTGATGATGACAGCTTTGTAATAGAGCTTGATGTCCGGAATTGAGATGCCACCAACTTTGGCTTCCTTTTTCAGTATTCCTTTGGCTATTCGAGGTCTTTTCTGGTTCCGTATAAATTTTAGGATTATTTGTTCCATTTCTTTGGAAAAATGGATAGGATTTTGATAGGGATTGCATTAAAAGTATAGATTGCTTTAGGTAGCATAGACATTTTCACAATATTTATTCTTCCAATCCAGGAGCATGGAACATTTTTCCATTTCCTTGTGTCTTCCTCAATTTCTTTCATGAGTACTTTATAGTTTTCTGAGTATAGATTCTTTGCCTCTTTGGTTAGGTTTATTCCTAGGTATCTTCTGGTTTTGGGTGCAACTGTAAATGGGATTGACTCCTTAATTTCTCTTTCTTCTGTCTTCTTGTTATAGAGAAATGCCACTGATTTCTGTGCATTGATTTTATATCCTGACACTTGACTGAATTCCTGTACAAGTTCTAGCAGTTTTGGAGTGGAGCCTTTTGGGTTTTCCACATACAGTATCATATCATCTGCGAAGAGTGATAGTTTGACTTCTTCTTTGCCGATTTGGATGCCTTTAATTTCTTTTTGTTGTCTGATTGCTGAGGCTAGGACTTCTAGTACTATGTTGAATAGCAGTGGTGGTAATGGACATCCCTGCCATGTTCCTGACCTTAGCGAAAAAGCTTTCAGTTTTTTTCCATTGAGAATGTTATTTGCGGTGGGTTTTTCATAGATGGCTTTGATGATATTAAGGTATGTGCCCTCTATCCCTACACTTTGAAGAGTTTTGATCAGGAAGGGATGCTGTACTTTGTCAAATGCTTTTTCAGCATCTATGGAGAGTATCATATGGTTCTTGTTCTTTCTTTTATTAATGTGTTGTATCACATTGATTGATTTGCGGATGTTGAACCAACCTTGCAGCCCTGGAATAAATCCCACTTGGTCGTGGTGAATAATCCTTTTAATGTACTGTTTTTGTTGGATCCTATTGGCTAGTATTTTAGTGAGAATTTTTGCATCTGTGTTCATCAAGGATATTGGTCTGTAATTCTCATTTTTGATGGGATCCTTGTCTGGTTTTGGGATCAAGGTGATGCTGGCCTCATAAAATGAGTTTGGAAGTTTTCCTTCCATTTCTATTTTTTGGAACAGTTTCAGGAGAATAGGTATTAATTCTTCTTTAAATGTTTGGTAGAATTCCCCTGGGAGGCCATCTGGCCCTGGGCTTTTGTTTGTTTGGAGATTTTTGATGACTGTTTCAATCTCCTTACTGGTTATAGTTCTGTTCAGATTTTCTATTTCTTCCTGGTTCAGTTGTGGTAGTTTATATGTCTCCAGGAATGCATCCATTTCTTCCAGATTGTCAAATTTGTTGCCATAGAGTTGTTCATAATATGTTCTTATAATTATTTGTATTTCTTTGGTGTTGGTTGTGATCTGTCCTCTTTCATTCATGATTTTATTTATTTGGGTCCTTTCTTTTTGATAAGTCTGGCCAGGGGTTTATCAATCTTATTAATTCTTTCAAAGAACGAGCTCCTAGTTTCGTTGATTTGTTCTATTGTTTTTTTGGTTTCTATTTCATTGATTTCTGCTCTGATCTTTATGATTTCTCTTCTCCTGCTGGGTTTAGGCTTTCTTTGTTGTTCTTTCTCTAGCTCCTTTAGGTGTAGGGTTAAGTTGTGTATTTGAGACCTTTCTTGTTTTTGAGAAAGGTTTGTACCACTATATATTTTCCTCTCAGGACTGCCTTTGCTGTGTCCCACAGATTTTGAACAGTTGTGTTTTCATTATCATCTGTTTCTATGAATTTTTTCAATTCTTCCTTAATTTCTTGGTTGACTCATCATTTTTTAGAAGGATGCTGTTTAGTCTCCATTTATTTGGGTTCTTTCCAAATTTCCTCTTGTGATTGAGTTCTAGCTTCAGAGCATTGTGGTCTGAAAATATGCAGGGAATGATCCCAATCTTTTGATACCGGTTGAGACCTGATTTATGACCCAGGATGTGATCAATTCTGGAGAATGTTCCATGTGCACTAGAGAAGAATGTGTATTCTGTTGCTTTGGGATGAAATGTTCTGAATATATCTGTGATGTTCATCTGGTCCAGTGTGTCATTTAAGGCCTTTATTTCCTTGTTGATCTTTTGCTTGGATGATCTGTCCATTTCAGTGAGGGGAGTGTTAAAGTCCCCTACGATTATTGTATTATTGTCGATGTGTTTC